TGTGTGTGTGTGTGTGTGTGTATGTGTGCGTGTGTGTGCGTGTATGAGTGTGTATGTTTATGTATGTGTGAAAAAAGGAAATAGAACGCTGCACATAAATATATTCTCACTAAAAGCCAATTTCTTTGTTGTTTTATAAACAGTTTATTGTTAAGTTTTAGCAAATAAATTTTTATTGATTAGCTGCTTCATGTAAGATTTTGAATACGACTGATAATGTATGTATTTTCCGTTAATTAATTAATTGATTAATTAAATTAATTTTTTGCAAAAATAACTTTTGCAGCTAAAGTTTCTTTTTTTTCCTTCTATTTCATTCTTATCTTTTAATAAATTCCTTCCTCCCTTCTTTGTTACATTCTTTCTTATAAAATTCAATGCCGACATATAAAAAAGAAAAGATCATTGTGCATAATTTCTATTTTTTTTTTCTTTTTTCTTTTTTCACCCCCCCCTCCCTCCCTCCCTCCCTCTTTCTCTCTCTCTCTCTTTCCACTTCTCCTTCCCTCTCCTTTTTTTTTCCTATTGCAAAAAAAAGAAAGAAATTGATAGCAAAAGCATTCAGAAGAGAAAGAAAAAAATCAACTATTCATCAAAATTTCTCCTTATTGTTTAAAATTTCTCCTATCTAATCAATCAGTAAATTTGAATTGAGATATCATTATTTTGTAATAATTTAAGCATAATTTTACTCTACAACGATAATTTATTCGTACAGAATTGAAATAAATTTATGGAAGCGGAAAAAAAAAACGAGCAAACAATTTCAATTTATTTTGTATGCTATGGAATTTTTAGGATTTTCACAAGTGATTGAAAATATTATTTTATATTTCATTCATCGATGTTTTAAATTGAAGGTGACAGCAATTACTAATAAGCATATTTGATAAAACTTTCAAAAATTTTATTATATTATTTCGATATGTATATTTCAAAATATATTAATATATATGTATATATTTAAAAATGTAAGTATGAAATGGGAAAAAATCAACAAATAAGAATTATGTGTAATGTGTGCAATAATCTCACGCGATAAATGATATGGAAAAAAGATGCGGAAACTGATGGGTTAATTGATAATTTAATTTTCATCACTTTCATTCTTTCTTCTGTTTTTCAAATAAATTTAATCCCCATCTATATGCTACGTCTTCAATTACATTAAATGCTCGTCTATCTTTACATCAAATGAGATAATTATTGGAATGGAAAATTTTTGTTGACGATTTTAAAAAACAAAAAAGTTTGAATGCTTTTTGTGTTCTTTATTTTTTAAATTAATTGATAAATCATTGAAACAAACAAAAATGAATGGATGATTTAAAAAAAAAAAGGAACAATTAAAATTGTTCATTAAGATCAAAAACGAATAATGTAATTAATCAGTGAGCATTTCCCTGTCATTATCAATATCTTTTAAAAAAATGATCAAACCAGAATAAATAAATATACCCAACTTTTCGTAATTTTGATAAATTGAAATTACAAAAAAAAAAAGAGAGAGAGGAACGAAAGAAAGAAAAGAAGGAAAATTTGGCATTTACCAAATGTTGCTTTTTTTCATCAAAAAAAAAATTCAAAGAGTAGATTTCAAAAAAAAAAAAAGAAAGAAAGAGAGGAAGGAAGAAATTGTAGTTTGAAAATTTTTGAAAAGTAGAAGGAATAAAATTCCCAAAGGTGATGGTAATATTTTCAATCGCATCATTTTCTTTCCGATATTTTCTCTCATTCAAATAAACTTTAACTCTGCTTACTTATCATGTTTTGGAAAAGAAAAGAACAAAAAAAAGTGGGACATTTTTCTTTTCTTTTCTAAAAAGCCTACAAATAGCACTGTTAAATGTTATCATCGTTGCTGCTGAAATGAGATAATTTAAGCCGCTAGTGTAATTTCAATCAATTTTTCAACTTTTTTTTAAAAAAAAAAGCGAAGATTTTTTTAACAACATGAAAAAATTTAGCTTTCTTCTTCAGAATGTGAGATCACAGAAGGAGGAACTGTGAATTTTTCCAAAAATTTTCAAGCAAATTGCTTGGATGGAAATAAAAAAAAAAAGCGCATACCTAATGATAATGGCTTCTTTTACAAGTTTTCATAAAAATTGATAAGTAAAAAATTTTTGAATTTTTTATAGAGAGAAATTCAAAAAAGTTTCGCTGTGATGTAAACTTCATTTTTCAGCTTCACTTACGAATGAAATAGGGGAAAAAAAGAGGGAAAGCTCTTAGAAAGATTGAAAAATTTATGGATAGTGAAAAAATGTCATAAAATTTTTTAGGAAAAGATTGAAAAAAGTAATTTATGGATAGGTATGTATTTCATATAACCGGAATGTAATTTAAAGAAAACGGAAACACGGTGCATTAACCATCAGCTATTAATCATTTATAGCTTTTACAGAATGGAACTGATTATTTTAAAGTCGTAAAAATTTAAATATTTTATTTAGGAAGCTTATTGAAGGAAAGAAAATTTCAAACATTTTAAGAAAAATAATTGAATTAAAAAACAAATTTCATAATTATTTCTTCCCTTACAAAATTTGTAATTTTCGTTGTTCGCGGGGAAAAAATTATTTTTATATCAAATATTTGCACAGCGAAGATGTTAATTAGTTTTTTGTTAGATCTGACAACAATGAGTTACGTCATTTTTTCTGAACATTTTGGATTATTAATGCATAATGCAATCAAAATAATATTTCGAAATGTTTTTTAAATGAAATATTTTCCATCAATTATTGTGTAAAAAATAAAAAGTAAAAAATATTTAATAAACAAAATATTTTCGGATATAGCAAATCAATAATCATATATGAAAAAAACCA